GGATTAGTTTCACTTGTCTCTTTGACGAGTTCCTAATTTGGTAAGGGAGAATGGCAAAACTCACTGATGATGCCGATGAAACGTTTGAGAATGTATCAAGTCCACTGTCTGATGCTGGGAATCATGACGACTTCGGACTAGGTTCGTCTCCCTGAAAACAAGACCAAGTTGCGACAACGAGGTCAACCCACTTCTAGAAACATTGTAAAAAAATTCAATTACCATCCGAAATAGGGTGAATACATCTCTTGTAACTGATTTAATGGTAATCTCAAACTCTACTTATATACGAAAAATCTAAAGCCACTCGATAGTGGTCTTCATATCTAAGACAAGTAGTCCTTGCCTAACTTGTCTAACTTCTACTCCCATTTACAGAATTCCCTGATCTGTAAATTTCATTTGCCTAAATTAGTTAGCGTTTCATGGCAGATCAAGTATAATCAGCAAAGCTTTGAGGTTTAGGCCGGTTCGCCTATCATTGAGAACGGATAGATAGCAGATCGTTTTGCCTTTTCCTAAATAGGTATGACGGCAAATTTAAGAGACGAGAACAGAACTATTTTGCTTATATCCTACCGAATAGCCTCATTTATACATTACTTACTTATTAAAGATGTATCATTTTTTATTTAGCTTAAAGGGGTATTGTTATGAGGAAGGAAAGGTTTTAATTAAATTTACTCTGCATCTAATTGACCTTTACCTGCAAGTTAAAAATCAAACGCTCATTTGCTGGTGTGGTGGTAAGAATGGCAAAGTTCACTGACGAGGCCGACTACGTTGAGACAAACCATTCGTGAAGGTGACAGGCGCATCGTCCCACGCCTGAAATTGTCATGGCTACTATTGTAGAGAACTCCGGACGAGATGATTACGTCCTGGTCGCCTTGATAATATGGCCAATAAGGATAAATTATATCAGAACTGTCCCAGCCGAAATAATATCAAGGAAAGTAGATAGTGTGGCCTCTGGTATGGTCACAGTCAACTTTCGATTTATAGAAGTGGGTTGACCTCGTTGTCGCAACTTGGTCTTGTTGCTAGGGCAACTTAGTAGAACGCACATATTCCAAAGTCGTCGGCCAGAGTAGTTGTCATGATTCCCAGCATCAGACAGTGGACTTGGTACATTCTCAAACGTTTCGCCGGCATCGTA